AGGGGTCAGGGAGGAACCTGAAAGATGCAAGGGAATAGGAATAGAGCAAGATGGTAGAGGAACTGATACGGGATATTAAGAGCAGAAGTAGTTGGTGAGCCTTGGACAGGAGTAAGGATGTCTGCCACCTCCTTTCAGGTGGTTTTATAGGTTTATGTTGGATGGCATCTTCTGAGGCCGGAAAGCTCTTTAGAATGAGAGGATTGAGATTTAGAGACATATGGATGGTAAACAATTGATGGTAGCCACTGGAGAATGAGGTTATCAACCAGGCATAAAAGAATTGCTGAATAGTACTGAGAGTGCAGGGGGAAAGTCATCATTCTTTACTGACACTAAAATGAGGAGAGGAGTGATAGGCTACATATCTTATGTAAGAGTGAGTAGCAAATTCAATAGGAATAAGGAGAGAGGTGTAGAGTTTTGAAATTTCAAAGGTAGGATGATTCTAACTGAAGACCAATTGCAAAGAATTAGTCTTATGGAGGCTAAGAGGTAGATAAAAGCTGTATCTGAGGGACACTGCATAACCAGGTACTGCTCCTACTATTATGGTGTCTGTTTTTTCCACGGGAAGAGAACGTTCTTGTTTTTGTAGGTTTATCATTGGAAATTTTGAAAGTGTGTGGAATTGGTCATAATAGTAAAACTAATGTTTTTGTTTGTTTTAGTGGTTACTGCAGCTTCTTTTCACACTAAAGACTCTACTAACAGAAAACCTTTAACAAAAAGTCAGCCTTGTTTGACATCCTTTAATTCTGTGGACATTACTTCCTCTAAAGCAAAAAAAGGAAAAGAGAAGGAAATTGCAAAACTAAAACGACCCACAGCACTTAAAAAGGTAAACCAAAATTTTGGAGATGTTTATTTTACAGGATAAATAAAGGTTTAAATTTGTTTTGCAAAAGTAGTTGTGGTGTTTTAGCCACATGCCTGTTGCATGTTCGTGATGACGAGTTAATTTGAAGTTCAGGATTAGCATCAGCATCATGACTGTCTTTCTGAGTGGAACAAGGCCCTGGAAAGTGAATTCTTTCTATAAGATTATTAAAGAAACCCAGTTAATAAAGGCAACTGAAGGTATTAGAAAAAAAAGGAAAAAAACAGTTAACCATTTAATATCCAGAAACATTAGACCCAAAGAATCAGAA